TTTCAAGCATAATCAGTGAAATAACAACATAGAAACGAGTTTTTGGTAAGCATAATAAAAATAATTTGCTTGTATCAATAATTTTTATAATGCCAACTAAAACTCAAAAGTTAAAATTTAGTGAGAATTTTATAAACGTATATTTAAAGCTCGTAAAATAAAAAATAATTAGAAATAGAGGTAGATCTTACAATAACTTCCTAAAAGATTAGATATTAAGACCTTAAATGTGTTTTAAATTAAAATTTGGAACATATATCATTAATTGACATTAAAAATTCAAACATCTATATACATAATAAAGAATAAAAGAAAAAGTGAAACATAAATATACTTAGTTAATACACATAATGTCATGACCCAAATTTTCCTCCATTTGGGTATCGTGATGGAACCTAGTTTTAGGGACTAGGTAAGCCTAACTCATACTGAAATACCACAATAATAAATGAAATTGAACAGTCTTGAAGCAGAAATCTCTACAAATTTAAAATTTCCGAAACCCGGTAGTACAAGTCATAAGCTCTACAGAGTTCCGCTATAACTTCTAAACACAACCGTATGGAAATAAGTACAACAGTGTGAATATAAAATAGGAAGGTGACTCCGAAGCCTGTGAACGCAGTAGCAGGGCTACCTTGAGTCTCCTCGGCAAGAATTCGCACAGCTACTATCGAACAATACTTGGATCTGCACAAAAATGTGCAGAAGTGTAGTATGAGCACACCACAGCGGTGTCCAGTAAGTATCAAGACTAACCTCGGTGGAGTAGTGACGAGGAACAGTCAAGACACCCACTGGTCTAATAAGCAGAACAAGTATAGGTATAGAAACAACCGAACATGATATCTATATGAAGACTAAGCGATATTCATAACAATACAGTAACTACAATAAGGAAAGAAAACAGCAAGTAATAGCGGAACACCATAATAAAGCACATAAAAGTGAACAGAAATACAACCCAAATTCGAAATCACAAATATAGTAAGGACAAGTCATAACTCAGAAACTACGGCTGTTTTCCACATTAGGTAATAGCCAACAACTTTAGTCAATTAGTCAAATCTTTCAGTTGATAAAAATATTTCGAAATATACTTCCTTCAAGTAAATATTTTTCCAAAATAGTTCTCTAAAACTGAATAACTTTCGAATATAACCCTTTCAAATAAATATCCTTCGAATATAAGTCACCCTGTGACACCTCATCGCATAATCATACAAAACGGGTCTCAATACCTTTACCCTAACACTTGGCATCCTGTGCTCTCATCACACAATCATAATCATACTGACAACTCACATGCCCAAAAGAGTCATTCTCACATGGAAGGCAAATAAATAAGGATGTGCGTCTATACTCAGCAATCTCAAGGAGCCTCTTATTCGATAAGGGTGCTTAGCCAAGTGTATGCTTGTGCAAGTGTCCTAACATAGTTCATACCAGCTAGTAAGCATAAGGACAATAACGGACAACACATATACTGTTTACACAAGGATAGGATCAATGAAAACAACAGCTCAGAACACAGTGATAATAACAGAGGATCTCCTAGGATACCATCCCGTAGTCCCAAACGTAAATGTAAAGAGGATCTCCCGGGATACCGTCCCGTAGTCCAATCATAAATGTGCAGAGGGATCTCACGGAATACCGTTCCGTAGTCCCAAAGTAAATATCCAGTACAGGGGGATCTCCTGGGATACCGTCCCGTAGTCCCAAACATAAATGTGTAGGGGGATCTCCCGGAATACCGTTCCGTAGTCCCAAAGTAAATATGCAAAACAGGGGATCTCCCGGGATACCGTCCTGTAGTCCCAATCGTAAATGTGCAGGGGAATCTCCCGAAATAGCGTTCTGTAGTCCCAAAGTAAACATGCAGCGCAACCAAATAGAATACACTTACAGCACAGCAGAAAACTCGTACATCACCGCAACAAGTACAACAACAACAATGACAATAATACAAGGTACGGCAAGTAAGTCAACTCAAGAACTGTAAATCACGAAGAAATGGTAGGACAAGCTCACAAGGAAGAACCACAGAAGAGAATGCTGGCATAAAGGAAACAATTCAACAAAAGGAAAACTAACATGTAGCAACGATCCCACAATACACAGGTCAATAACAAGGGAATCAATACGAGGCAAGTAGTCCCAAATAAAGGCAAGTCAACAAAGATATGGGTTATCTAAACTCCTTTTTAAGGTTGAACAAATACGAGGATATACGACAATTCAATTAAGGAAAGATGATATTACCTTCACCTCAGACTAAACAATTATCGGAGGACATGATGATGATTCCCAAATAAGACACGCAGCTATGAAAAGACAGCATGACAATAGGAGAAGCGAAATTCTTCAGTTAATTCAAGTAGGAGTCGATTAGGCAATAAGAGTGAATCATGAAGCAATTAATTCCAATTAAGCATGTAGAGGTGAAATTAGTAAATAGGAAACTCAGTCATGTCAGAACACATTCATACACAGTGAATATAAAGACCTAAGAACCCAAAAAAGGCCAATTTTTCACAAATAAGTCCGAACACGCACTCGTCACCTTGCGTACACGAACTACAATCAACCTAGAAGACTCAAATCCTAAGGGGAAGTCCCCCAAACAAGGTTAGGCAAGATACTTACCTCAAAGACGACAAACCAATACTCTAAAATGTACTTCTCGGGTGAAAAGACCTCCGGACGGCTCAAATCTAACCAAATTAACTTCAAAGCACAAATAAAACACATAAGAAACTATTCCGGATCATAAAGACTCAATCTTCAACAAAATTCAAAAATTGGTCCAAAAGTTGAACCCCGGGCCGGCACCTTGAAACCCAACAAATTCGAATACTCATTCCAATATGAGTTCAAACATACAAAAATTATCAAATTCCGATACCATTTGGTCCCTCAAATCATGATTTTTCATTTGAAAACTTTCTTCAAAAACCAACATTTTTTCTCAACCCAAAACACAAATTAAATGATAAAAATGAAGATAAAATCATGGAATATGTTAGATTCTAGGTGAAGAACACTTACCCAATCGATTTGCTTGAAAAACCCCAAAAGAAGCTCCCAAATCCGAAGTTTAAAACTCTAAATATGAAGGAAATGGCCAAACACTCGACTTATATGATTCTGCCAGGACTTCCACACCTGCGACCAACTTAACCGCATCTGCGCAACCGCAGGTGCACCTGACCAATCGCACCTGCGCTCCAATCTGCTTCTGCGCCCAGGGATCCACTCCTGTGGCACCGCACGTGCGTTCCAATTCTCCACATTTGCGGAGACTGCCCAGACCAACTCCTCTCGCACCTGCACTTCCTCCTTCGCCCCTGCGACCATCGCACCTACGCCCAGGGCCCACAGGTGCGCTTACACCAGAACTCAACCTCCCTAAAACCATGGAAAATTATCCGCAACTCATCCAAAACACACTTGGTGCCCTCGGGACCCCGTCCAAGCATATCAACAAGTCATATAACCTAACACGGACTCGCTCGAGGTCCCAAAGCACATCAAACAACGTCGAAACGACGAATCACACCATGAATCGAACTTAGGAACTTTCAAATCTTCCAACTTCCAAAATCGCGCCGAAACCTATCAAATCAACCCGGAATGACGCCAAATTTTGCAGACAAGTCCAAAATGATATAACGAAGCTGCTCCAACTCTCAAAATTGCATTCCGACCTCGATATCACAAAAGTCAACTATGGGTCAAACTTCTCCATTTTCCAAACTTCAACTTTCCCAACTTTCGCCGAAATATCTCAAATTACCCTACATACCTCCAAATTTGAATCCGGACGCGCGCCTAAGTCCAAAATCACCATACGAAGCTGTCGAGATCACCCAAAACCCATTTCAGTGCCGTTTACTCCAAAGTCCAATTCCGGTCTAATTCTCACCGCTTAAGCTTCCAAAACTAGATTCCTTCTCCCAATTCAACTCCGAATCATCTGTTAACAAAATTCAACCATGCACGCAAGTCGATACACATAATATGAAGTTGTTCAAGACCTTATGCCGCAGATCGGAGCTTATATTCTTAAAACGACCGGCCGGGTCATTACATAATATTAAAATAACAATCATAAAACTATAATTTTTTAACAAATTCATAAAATGACTATTCTTGTTAAATTATAAAATTATAATAAGATATAAGATAATCTAAAGTTCAGGTAAAAACACTTAGGTAAGGATAAAATATCTTATATAATATAAAGTATTATAACATAGAGTGGAAATGAAAATATCAAGGGAAAAATAGACATTAAAGTAACTAATAGGACGACGAGAATGTTTAATGTTCAAAGTTTAAGGAGATGTTTGATTTTGCAAAATTGGAGTATCTAAATGATTATCACCTGTCAAAAAACCTTAAAGTCAAACTATATATTTGGGATGTGTTACTTAAGATACAAGACAAGAACATGAAAGAAACCACTCAATTGACTTACTCCTTTCGTTTCACTTTATTTATCTTTTTTTGACTTGACTCAAAATGCAATAAAGAAATAAAGACTTTAATAAAATAATTGTTACCGTAAATATTCCATAACAATTTTAACAAGTTAATAATAATTCAACCTCTCTTGTCGAAAGTTACAATTTACAAGTGATATATGAGAATGCATACTGATCAAATCATTTGTGCACTGAGGAAATATACTTCTTCTCCATGATCCCTTCTAAATCTTACCAATGCCGTGCTTCACGTTCTTTTTTTAAATTCAAATGTCCATCTTATAATAAAAAGAAAAAAAGGAGGATTAATTTAGTCAAATTTAGCCAAATACTTAACTTGTATAAAATATCATTTGCTTCATTCCTTAGACTACTCGTTTCTTCTTTGAATAGGCAACCAAGTTTCGTTGGAAAATTGACGAACCATTAAATAAATTTCCAGCCCTTGCTATAAATACCTGTCTTCCCTTAATAGTTTTCACACACAAATCACTTCAAAGAAAAAAGAAAGATCGTATTATAAGTATAGGAATATGGCAAAGTCACTAGTGAGCTACACAACCTTCCTTGCTCTCCTCTTGTGCTTTCTCCTCATTTCATCCAATGGTTGGTACTTCTTTCATTGTCATTTCATTTGTGAAAGTTGTATGCATATATTATAATTCCAAAAGATTTGTTTTTTTACAACAAAATAACGGCATATATATACCGAATTCCAAGCTAGTTGTATTTGGTCTTCTACTGTTCCTTGAGCAGATGATCTATCGAAAACAACCTCTCTATCTTTATAAGGTAGGGGTAAGGTTTGCGTACACTCTACCCTCCTCATACTCCATTTATGAGATTACAGTGAGTTTGTTGTTGTTGTTGTTGTTGTTGTTGTTGTTGTTGTTGTTGTTTTGTATTTGGGAGAAATTCAAAAATAGCCAGATTTACCACTGGTCGTTGAAAAATAGTCAAGTTTCAAAAGTCATTGAAATTTAGCCACTTTAAATCTGAGCGAAAACACTGTTCAAAATCCGGAAAAATACGCCCGCAAATTTTACGGGAGTTCCAGCAAGTATAATTGTCCAGTATAATATACTAGAGTTTGGAGCACTGGTGCTCCAGTCTCCCGCAAATTTTACAGGAGTTAGCAAAGTATACCGGTCCAGCATAATATGCTGGAGTTCGTACACAAATGCACCAGAACTCCCGTATATTATACTTGATCGGTCCCTGTTGCAGCAAAATAGTGGCTATTTTTCATTGACTTGATAAACGCTGGCTATTTTTCATTGACCAGTGTGAAAACTGGCTATACCATGATATTTTAACTTTGTATTTGGTCTCTCTATAGGGATTTGGACCCAAAACTACAATCCAATATTACATAAAATTGCAAAAATTCATTATAATTGATTATTTTTACGCTAATTGTTAACTTGCTATAATATTTCGTAGTACAGGTAGCTAGCTCCTAGGTATGCCTTTGCACAATCATATATGAATTCGCTAATATGAAATGATTATCATTATTGTTATAACTTATAACAAAAATAAAACATATATTTCAACATTTTTAGAAGAAATTCATTATATTTTAATTCAAATAAATGATTTTAAACAAAAATACTTATGATAAGTTGTTCCATGCAGACAGAGGCGGACCCAAGATTTGAACATTGCGGGGGCACCATTATCTTTAACGTAAATATGATAATAATATTAGTTGCAATAAAGTCTGGCGTTCAACTCTTTGAAAACTTAATGATTATGAGTTCGTGGGCAAAAAAGAATGTTCAAAAATTAATTTTAAAATCTAAATAAAATCAAGACTAATAAAGGTCTATAAGAAAGTCCAACCGACGTCGCAGAGTCAACGGATACTTGCTACTTTGTCAAAGTAAACGTTGAAGGAAGAAGGATTTTAGTTGTCTTTATTTTTTCTAAATGAAATAATAATAAAAATTGGTTAGAGATAAAGATTATAGGCTAATGGAACTAGTTAATGAACTATTTTATCCCCCTTTCCTACTGTCTTTAATCATTATTTTTATGTCTTCATATTAACTTTTCAGAGTCTAGAAAGACGTATCTCCAATGGAGTTTTTGACTATTTTATGTAGAAGATATGAAAACTAATTGTGAAGAGAAATTGAGTTTTGGAGCTTAGAGGAGCGATTTTAAAAGAAAAAAAATAAACTAAGTGACTTCTATGTACTAGTACTAAATTAATGTTTGAATTAAAAAATAAATAGACCAAGTTGACTACTAAATATGGAGTACTAAACACTACTAGAAATCCGGTAAAAAGCGACCACAAAAAGCGACCAAAGTTGGTCGCTTATAGGCCTAAAAGCGACCAAAAAGCGTCCAAACATGCCTGGTCGCTATATTGCTGGTCCCTTCACTTTAGGGACCAAAGTTGGTCGCTAATTAGCGACCAACTTTGGTCTCTAAGGTAAAATGACCAAATATTTCGGGTATTGACTATAGCGACCATCTTTGGTCGCTTTATTATTTTAATAATATAAATTTGGCGACCAAAGTTGGTCTCTAAATGTAAAATATATTATTTATTTATTTATTATTATTCATAAAACAGCGACCAACTTTGGTCTCTAATCCAAATATTATATTTTAAAATCTGAAAAATGGAGACCAAGGTTGGTCGCTATTTTATTAATTTTTTTAATTTTTTTTAAAAATAAGCAACCAAAGTTGGTCGCTAATTTCAAGAATTTAATTTTTTTTAAATATAAGCGACCAAAGTTGGTCGCTATTTTTCCAGAATTTTTTTTTAATGGAATAGCGACCAAGGTTGGTCGCTTTTTTAGAAATCTGGATAAAAAGAGACCAACTTTGGTCGTTATTGCCCAGAAAATTATTTTTTTAAATGAAAAGCGACCAAAAAGAGATCAAAGTTGGTCGCTTTTCTGGGTATTATTTTGGTAGAAACTGCCTGTTTTGGCAGCTACACCACCTGCCAGCATACCAAATCCCTAAACAAGCAACAACAACAACAATACCAACAACAACACAACAACAACAACAACAACATTAAAACCAACGAAGTATAAAGTTCAATAGAACTAACACATTAAGCTAACAAAACTAAGTTAACGCTTATTACAAGCTCATTCGAAAACTGGTTCTATTGTCTAGTTCAAAGTATATAAAGTACTCAAGGAGTGTTCTTTCAGCATCCTCGTCCGAAAGTTGGATTGCCTCGCCCGACTCATTAGGTGGCTGACTGCGTATGAATTCCTCCACATCAGCTGTGAAGCGAACCTATAAGAAAAATTATATTAAATTAGTATTGCAAAATTTATATAAAGTAAATAAAATACTTAATGAAAAGTAAAAAACTTACATGTATAGTCGAGGATCGACCCTCGACCCACCTTTCTAAATTAGTCTCTTTCTTCTTCTTTACAATACGAGTTTCATTGAATATCTCATGATCTTGCTTCATTGGCATCATAAAGCTGTCTGGTGACTTTGGTGATTATCCTCAGGATAAACTTGGATACAGAGAATAACTTGGATACAGTAGCTGACAGGGTGTGTCTTTTGATCAATTGTTGTTCTAGTTAGCGACAATGATGATGAGAAGGCAATGGCATGTGTTTCAAATAGTGATGGTGTAGGCAGGAATTTTAACATTTCCTAAGTAGATAAAAGAAAGATTATAGAGGAATTCTCTACTTCATTTTCCAAGAAGAAAAGAAGTTTAATTGATAGTGACAAGGTTGATGGT